GCCTGGGCTGGGGCCTGCGTCACAGGGCTGTGCACTTTTCAAAGTGCCTTGTTTTTGACAATTGTCTGTGGTAGGGCCGTGTTTACCAGTTTTTGTGCTCCTACAACATGTGCAGGGAGATTACTGCCAAATATACTTTACTACACATGCTGGCTGTGCATCTGGACAAAATTTACACCTCAGTGCCCAATGCTGTTTTTCTCACTTCTCATTTTAATGGAATTCATTGTCTAATCTGGTAAATAAGTTTTGAAAATTCTGACCTTTTTGGTGCTAAATATTTTATTGGCAGATTTATCATACAGCTGAGAAAGAATCAATGAAAAGCAAGTGAGAATTTCACTATTATATCAAACTTTGAAACACAGTCATGTAATAATGAAACTGCTATTCTGGTTAGAGAAAGTGCAATGATTTAAGATGAATATTACAAGTAAATATTTTTGTTGTTGTTGTTTTTTGGCGGAACCGGGGATTGAACTCAGGCCCTTGCGCTTGCCAGGGAAGCGCTTATTCCACTGAGCCATCTCCCCGGCCCTGCAAACACTTTTTATTCATAGTGGATGAGAAGCATTTTTTTCTTTTTTGGCTGAACCAGGGATTGAACTCAGAGCCTTGCGCTTGCCAGGGAAGCGCTTATTCTACTGAGCCATCTCTCCAGCCAGAATGAGAAGCATTTTTTAAACTGCTTTTCCAATAGTGGTAATGTATGTTTGATGCAATTACTAGCAATACAACTACCAGTACTTTGACCAGTGATAGTCACAATGGTATAGAACAAGTTGAAAAGCCACAGTAAATTTTCTATCTGTGTATTGCTTCTGAGTTTTCTAGTTTTTTTGTAGGGAGGAGTAGATCCTTTTTTTCTTCCTTAGTATCTTAAAATTCTGAACTGTGAAGTTCCATTTGGTTTAATTTATTTCATTTCTGTGTACTTGATTGTGTCTTTTTTTTTTTTTTTTTTTTTTTTTTCAGAACCAGGCATTGAACTCAGGCCCTTGCGCTTGCCGGGGAAGCACTTATTTTACTGAGCCATCTCCCCGGCCTTTCTTCTCTTTCAAAATACTATTCAGTTCTTTCATTTTTTATTGAAGTCATTGTTTTACGAATGTAATGTTTTAAAGTTCTTTATACATTCTACAGATTAACCCTCCATCGAAAGAGTACCA